TGGGTAAATTCCCCCCCCCGGCCCCGCGGGGCCGCTCCCCCCCCCACCCCCTCCGCCATGTTCGGCCCGGCCGCGGGGCCGGTAACGGGCGCTCGCTAACGCCTCTCTTTCTTTCTCTCGCTCTCTCCTCAGCTGTCACGACCGCAGGGGGGACTCGCAGCCCTACCAGGTACCGCCGGGCCGGGAGGAGGAGCAGGGGAGGCGGGGGGGTGCTACTCCAGCAGAGGCTCCGGCGGCCGCTGCAGGCCGCGGTGCCGCGGCCGCCCCGGTCCGGCCCCTGGCGGCGCTCTGGGCCCGGGGCCGCGGGGCGGAGAGGCGGCGGCGGCGGCCCTGGCGCAGGGAACGGGGCCCCGGTGCTCGGCCGAGGCCTACGGAGCCGGGGCGAGCAGGAGCGGCCTAGTGCGACCCGTGCGGGGCTCGGGCCTGCAAGTCGGGGAGGGTGCGAGGGGCGGGAGAGGGAGCCGGGGTCACCTGCGGTGGAGTGGAGATCCAGGAGGGAGTGAATGTTTTTTTTCTAAAAACAAAAGGAGTCTTATTCTTCCACCCACCCCACCCCCCCCAACCCCTCCCCCAAGTCCTTTCTTCTCCCCAAAACTGCTGCTGTGGGCTATAACCTGAGCAGGCACAGGTTTAGACCCTGACCACCTTGGGGTTGTAAGTAAGGCTTAATTTCTGCAGTTGCCAGCTGCTAGGCATGTTCAGAAACCATAAAATCCTTGAGTTACCGACAACAGCCTCAATTTCTGTAAGGTGGATACTGCACTTCTTTATTGTGTCTACTGAAGAAACCCCATTGTCGAGGTTTGAGTCTGTGGAAAGCCATATGTTGTGATATTGCTCTCTGTAGGCCCTAAATTGAACTGTTTTACTGCATTTCCGTGTATTTGAATCACTGGAGTGCAGTAGGGCAGTCCAAGGCAGCTGTCAGTGACAGTTCACGTAAATGTAAACACTTGCCACTCAGGAGTTCACAGAACCAAGCAGGTCAGAGTGAGGCAGAGCATGTAATTTTTGGTAAAAACTTTAGAATTAATTATTACATTACATGTTTTGGCCCCCTATAATTATTTTTTTTAATTACACATGTTACCGGGATGTTAGTACTGAAAAAAAAAAATCACAGAAATTCAAGGTTATGTTGAAACCAACTGGTCTTGACTAGAGTGTGGAGGACATATTCAAAGTTTACACTGATTCAGTGTAACTGTTAAGTTTGTTTTCCTAATAACAGGTGGAGACTAGTTCTTGTCCCAAAAGTGTGGAAGACCTGTAGCCCATTTACTGCTGGAAGTGTGTAGTCCATCAGTGAAAAGATCGAGAAACTAGGTTCTTCTTAACAGCAAGTGTTGCATTGGATGTAATAGTGGGAGAAATTTGTTTAAGTTCTAATTACAGAACTTGTTGCTTTCATGTAGGTAATTAAAACTAGGAAGACTAATGCTGGCGACTTTTTTTAATAAGAAATGAACATTAATTAACTTCTGAAAGTACTTTTGAAAGAGAAGAAGAAACCCCAAAATTTTGTATCTAATGTCGATGCCTATTTTCTTGTGATCTGTTTCAGGCTCTTAAGTACACATCCAAGAGTCACCCCAGTGGTGGTGATCACCGTCATGACAAGATGCGAGACGCCACAGATCCTTCACCACCAAATAAAATGCTGCGGCGCTCTGACAGCCCTGAAAACAAATATGGTGACAACACAGGGCACAGTAAAGCAAAAAGTGTGCACACTCACAGAGTTAGAGAGAGGGATGGTGGTAAGTTATGTTTAACAAACTTTTACAATTACTAATTTCTCATTAAAATTAGCCATTATCACTCAGGTGATGTCTTAACACTAAATGTGCCTTGTACTCAGCTAGGGTGACTGCAGTGAACCCAAAATGGGGATTTAATTGGAAGCAATCATTGAGGCATTGTAACACCTATTCATTTTCTGTTCTTTACAGATATGGTAGTTTTTCTTATAGCCCCTAAGATTAAATGAACCCTTTTTAAAATTATTTTAACTAGTATGTCTTATTTATTAAGATAACATGAAATAGTTTTCTGGATTTTTCATTAGCAATTAATATTGGCTGTTTTGCATCCTTTTTAATAACTTTGCGTTTTGTGGTGCTGTAGTGGGTAGGTACATGCTCCATAGACTAAACACAATCAGAAATGAAAAAAGCTTCTTTGTATTAAGCTGCTATGCAGAACTCTTAATAGATGATCAAAGGTAGCACATACTAGAGCCTTTCTTGGCAGGAGCTTGAAGAACTGTGTTCACAGTCAAGTCAGCCTCCTCTGTTTTTACAGGTTTATAAACAGTAGTAATATCCCCAGTATTTTTTAACTGATCTTATTTTGTATCCCTGCTTCCTAGGAAAAGAGTAGGATTTTCCAGGTAATAAAGAGTGTTAGGTAACAGAGTTTAGAAAATTGCACTTGCTGTCTGAATTTTCAGAAGTTCTTTCTTTTGTTGATTGGTCTTTTGTGTCAAGGTACAAGGTGAAGTATTCAAGCAGAGAATGTGGAACTTTAAATCAGTGCTTCTTTGTTCTGTATAAAGCTGACAAATTCTAATGTACATAGACATTTATTGCTGCACTAGTTTTACTTGATACAATAGTTATAGTAAAATAAAAGAAGTATCTTTCAAGTACCTTTTAATGACATACCAGTTTAACCCTACAAATGTGTTCATGGGAAATTATTCTTATAAATCCTGTTTGGTTTTCCTTCTTTGATTTAATGCTGAGGCTCTGTAGACCACTGTTAATGTCATAGAAGTGTGTAGATGCATTATAAGAACATGCTTCTTTTGTTAATACGCTGATTTTCATTGAATCTGATAATAATTGAAAGTGTAGTAATTTCAGAATTAAATGCATGTGTGATGCCCATATGCTGCTATTCTGTGCTACTTTTCAGGATGCAGAGGTGTCCTCTTTTATTTTCTGTTCACCTGTCCAAAAATTAGTCCCATATTTTCTTGCAATTCTATTTAGTTTTGCTACAGTCGGTCATTTTTTCTGCTTGAACAGAACTGCATTTAGTGGAATCATGCATATATGAAAATATCTGGAGGTTGAGGCTCTATGTGGGGAGTGCTTCTGCTTATTTGTGTGTTGGAAGTGTTGTAAGATAGGAGAGATATTTCTGAAGTCCTTACAAGGTCCAGCTGAATGTAATAGCTGGGGAATGGTCTGAAGTGTGTATGCATGCAGTCAGGATGAAGGAAAATAAATTATTTCTAGTTTTGTGAGTGGAAGGAACACCATCCCACAGTACCTTCTCCTCGTTGTTAAGACAGTGGAAAGTTTCATTTATTCTCATCTGAAGGCAGGTGTTTTCACATCATGTGTTAACAGACTGGAAGAAGGAAGTTGTCTTCCAACAGTGTAAGGGAAATTACTAATTTTAAAAGTTTAACATTTGTACTGTTTAATGTAAATAAGTGATTTTTTTGTGTGTGTCATTAGTAAGGTTAGTTTGGCCGCAGTTTCACCTCTGTAAAATACAGTCAAAACAACCAAAATTATGTTAAATCCTCTGTACTGTATGTAGTAAACCAAAGCTGAGCAAATGTGGGCAGAAGGGTATTAATTTTTCTGTGATATACTGAATATTTTTGTCAGTATGAATTGAAGGTAGGTGTTAAAATATAGGTGAAATGCTCTAGTGTAATGAGCATTTGCATATTGCTAATAGGCAAAAGATATAATAAAATAATTTGCTATTTTATCTGTCTCTTGAATTACTCTGAAGGGTTGCTGTTGATATAGTATTCCCTTAGTTTTGCAATTAGAGACATACAGTGGAAAAAAGAAAAACATTACAAAAGTACTAACATACTTCATCTAAGCCTTTATATGACCAAGAGCTATTAATTTGCTATGATACTACTATAATTGCCTGTCTTGTTTTCTTTTTGCATTCTTCATAGAGGAGGAAAGAAGCTGAGTGGTTTTTATTTTTTTTGATTGCTGTGCATTATTTTAAATTTGAATCTGCTCAGTTTGAAACTACTACAGGTGTTACTGCCTTCCTGTGATCTAGCTGAACTCAACAAAGCAAATCTCATTGAAACATCTCTAGTATTTATTTTCCTAAACTGAATTAAAATCCCTAACGAACAATCTCTTCTCTCATACCTTAGAAAACAAAACAGAACATAAATTTGGAGTATTACTACTGAACATAAAGCTGATTTAACTTGATCTCTCCCTCTCATCTCAATGTTTGGAAAGAACTCCTATACATCTCCTAGTAATTTTAGCTCTGAAGAGAAACAGGAAGATTCAGTGGTGTAGCACACTGCTTCAGTCATGACTGGTTCATGTTTTTGTGGTAAATGCCGAATGTCATTTAAATGTCATCTCAAGGTTTGTGTACACATTTAAAATATAAGCAGGAATTGATTGAAAATTAATTAGTCAAAAATCATAGCACCACATCCTATTAATATCCTTAGTATGCGTATAAAGGTATTTTTTTGTAACAGCTTATTTTTGTAATATTCATGGCAGAATCTTTTGTAGAATTGTAATCCATGGGGAGAAATTCAATTAAGGTTTTAAAACGTGTTATGGGTAAGCCCTCCATACAGTGCAAACAAAGCATTTTTCAAAGTTGCTTACTACATGGTTTCTGTGGAAAGAGACTGTGTACAGAGACAGTCATTCTCTGGAGAGGGACTTCCAAGTTTACCTTGGACTAAACACCATGGAGTAATTGCAAGCTTTTGTCACATTCCTGGTTTCCTAAGAGCGCTTGTACATGCAGCATATCAAAAAAGTGCCTTAACTTCGTTCTTGCTTTCAGGTCCCTGTGCATGGGGGCATTGTCTCTGTATGCAAGTGTTTAAAACATAATGAACAGCTTCCCCCCCTCAGTGCATCTCTTATTTATAGGTCAGCTGCTATAGGCAAGTGTGGGGTTTGAAGAGATTAGGGGGTCTTACGAGACCAGCTCAAGTGTGAAGTTTCTTAACAGTAACAAATAGGGACTTAAAGCCAGCATTGTTTATGGGGAATAGAACTATGAAGGGCCTTGTAGATGTGGAAAAATATTTCCTTTAAAGAAAAAGGGAAATACAAAGATTTGACGGCTCTCATTCTTGAAGATGGAAGGCTGTTGTATGTCTTTTAAAATGCATGAATGATGAAATACTGGTGTCCAGGAAAGAAAATAAAGAGGCCAGATAAGTAGAGTAGCTTTGGGAATAATGAAAGGGAGATATATAGCTATAAATATATATAATTTAAAAGTAAAAATGTTAGATGCAGCCCTTGTTATAAAAAGGGCAGAGGGTGTTTCTACTTAACTGTATGGAGCAGGATGACCCACAGTAAGATACACAGTAGAACTTTATGCAAACAAGGTTTGTTCACTTAAGCCGCCTGTACTCAGTTGTTTCTTACTATGAAGAAAATACTGCGTGTTTCACTACATTTATGTTTAAGAGACTTTGAAACTTTACTTCATGCCATGGTCTTACTGAATTGCTTAAAATAACAACTGGGGAGTGTAAATGTATATAGCGTGAAATCTTCTGCTGAATTGTGTGCTGTTATGCAGTGTAGGCTCTTCTAATGAAATTAGATTATAACTTGTGGTATTTGAATTCCAAAGTATAATTGAAGCATTGTGACTGTTTCTTTTGCATGTGAGTTGTTTTTTTTTAATTGGCAATTAAGAACATTTGTCAGTGAGCACTGTTACTGACTAATACAGTTCCAAGATTAAAAATCTTACTGCTATTAGAGGCTGAATTAAATATTTTAAATAAATGAGTTAGTGTTTTTATCAAGGTGGTGGTGGGAGCTTCTGTCATTCTTTGTTGGCTTGCTTTGTTTCCACTGGTTCCTGAAGGAGTTCAGAGTCTTCATAGCAAAGGGATAGCAAACAGGCCTGAACAGAGAGCTGTGTTAGGTTCCTGTGCTGGCAGCCCTGGCAGTAAAAGGGAACTGCTGATTAAATTAGTGTGATCATTGACTAGTGAAACAAACAATGATGGGGTGTTAGGGCAGCTACAAGAGAATGGAAGATGCTCGGGCAATGGGCTTTTTGGAGAGGAAATTGCAGGTTAGGCGGAAAGAGACAAGTCTGAGAGTAATAGAACATAGTGAAGGGTTCAGGAGGAAGCTGGAGTAGATTCCATCTATGTAGTTACTATTAACTGCTGTTAATGTTAATTATTTGTTACTCTGAAAACCATTTCATCACTGTAACTGTATGGTCAAAGCTGGGATGAGAACAGTCTGATCACAAAGGACAGTGAGCTCTCCATGAAACATGTTTTGAATATCCCCCAACAGCAAAGTGTAGATTTAGTGATTCACTTCGCTGTTCCTTGAATATTGGCTTTTTAGATGGCTTTAAAGGAGGTATGGGTTGGCTGGTTTGTTTTTTAAGAAAAAGAGAATTGCTTCCAGGATCATTCACATTTTAGAAGTTTTTCTTCGTATTTAAAAAAATTGGGAAAAGTAAGTTTCTGTTTTCTGATATTTATAAAAGCTTTCTTTTAAGTTTTATTAGTTTGACTGCCTTTAGACAGGGTTTTAATTCAAAGTTTGCTTTCAAATTTAGAACTTTTAGATAGAAAGTAGCTTTCCATTTAGTCAGTGGATTTGGCAATATTTCTGAGGTGAGTTTTTGTGGATCAGTTGTATAAACATTTTTTTGTGTTTCTCTGTTGCAAGGATCTGTAGTAGAAAAGAAATTGAAAAGTATGTGCTCGTAGAATCACAGTAAAAGATCTGACTTATGT